TTGAACTGCTCGCGTCTTTTTTCTTTCTTTTTGGGACTATTTGAAACTTGAATGATCATCAGATCTTAAATAATTGCCGACGAAAGGATTAAATCCTGAAACATTCTGCGCCCCTGTCCATCGTTAATCGCATGTGCGTTGTACGTACTCGAGTCATCTTGGTCTATTAACTCGGCGACTGAAACTGTAGAAAAATAAATTATTATATCGATGATGATATCGTGTTCGAGTACATTAGCCTACGTTCCCGTGGTATCATCCTACTACGGGCGACACGATACCATAATGTTTCACGAAGCCCGTAAAAACGGTTACGACTAAACGAATCTTGAGCACAAAATAAGACGAACTCGAACGAACCGTTGCGAAAAAAGAAAGAAACGATCGAACAATCTCCTTCCAATTGAAGAGAGGAACCAAACTTATTTCAGATATTTGCCTTATTTTGATCTCAGAAGTCGTTTAAATGGCGAGTAATGCCGGGGACTTGATGAAATGCCTCGTACGTTCGAAAGCGAATCTGACCTAAGCTCCTGTGACGAATCTCATCGTCGTCTTTTGATCAGCTTCTCCCTTCGTACAAATCGACGACTCTGCTCGCAGAAAAATAGAGTTAAACTCGAAACTATAGAGAGACTGTTTTCGTCCTAATGGACTCTCGCTAAATAGATATAGTCATAGTTCAAACATGACGAGAACATTCTGCACGTGATCGTTAATAGACAGTTAAGTTTTTCTAGCCTCTTTTACTTTTTCTTCATTTTTTTTCTTTTTTCTTTTTTTTTTTTCTTTCTTTCCTTTTTATTCGTCTCGTTTTAAACACACGCGCAAGCGGTCCTTCGTATTCGATGATGGTTCAGTTTAACGACAGCGTTCGAAACGTTCGAGGTGTAGGGCTCTTTCACTTTCTCGTTTCTCTTGTTCTCCAAGTACTTGAGTATTTCCTTCATGTCAACCACGCGTGGAATCTTTGTCTCTCGCGTCGCGTTTTCCATTCCCTCCTTCATCTTCATTCAACCCTTTCTCGTTTTATATTCTTTTTATAACCCTTTCTTTCTTTCCTTTTTTCCTTTAATTCTACGAGAAACAAAGCTCCAATATAACCGACGAAATATTTTGTTAGAGCTTTCTCTACAAGATTCTTTCTTCTCCTTTTTTTTTTTTTTTTTTTTACAATACATGAACAATTCCTTTACTTTCAGGTTTCAATTTTTACTTGGAATGTACAACCCCCTGCTTTCCATCGAGCATCCGTACTATCTACACATCGATTTGCAATTTGCTCTGTACAACTGAAATTGCACTTGCGATTCGATTTTATTAACTCTGCTTAATTACAACGCATAGGTATAATCTGACCGATGATATCCGACAGGGTATTCAATTGTCGGAACATTCGCCGATGTTCCATTCGATCGGTCAATTTCTAACCACGGTCGAATTGTTACAACGATTAGATCCTAAATTCCTCGAGAAAAAGGGCCGAAAGAATTCTCCTGCGTTCGAGGGGCCGTTCCGATCAGCTTGGATGAAACGTCCAAGTCGTACGACGTACATGTTGCCAAATCAGCAGACCCCGCGTCACGGAAAATTTCTTTCGCGTCGTGTCGCGATGATTCGAATTCGAAAGGTCATAAAGAGAGTCGACGTAGTTTTCTTTTTTTTTTCTCTCTCTCGACGACCGAGAGAATGTGTGTCGGAGAAGGACACCGCGATTCTGCTCGGCAGCCACGTTAGGAAAAAGACCTACCACTATGTAGTTGACCACGTCCACGCTCTTGGCGCGTTTAATTAATCCCTTTTCTCTTTAATTAATCGCGCCGCGGAACGTGCTCGCCGCGGGATCTAGAAAAATAGAGTTGACTCGATCGCGAGAACCGTGAATCTACCACAACGATTACGAGCTAGACACTTTCTTAAATTTACGTATCGTATTCTAGAGTGACGAGGATTGATCGATTCGCTTGGCTGTCCACGCCGTCCACGCGTTCCGGCAAATCTATATCTCTTATCCTAGATATGCACGATTCGACGGGGATCCTCCGATGACAATTCCTTCCTTCCTTCGAAATTTTATATCTTCGTTCCTCGAATCGAAACCAGTCTACTACCAGCGACGTTCTCCCTACGTTTCTTCTCGGTTTCTACGGAAAATAGGACTCGTTTGAAGGCCTAGCACTAAACTAAGACAATCCACGACGTACGGTACGTCACTTTCGTCTGTAATTATCAGTTAGATTTCGCTCGTACCTCGAGCGTCGCCCTATTAACTTTCTTACTTTGTTTCTTCGTTTTGTACCCTGTTCTCTTCATCTCCACGGTAATCGGTAAACTACGGTCGGTTACGTACAGCGGTAAGAATTTTTCTCTAGTGGCTGAGGCTTTTCTTCGGAGGCTGGCCTCTGGCACCCCTTCTCCAACCAAACGAAAACCATGACGTTTCTGTCATGCGAATCATCGTTCGCGTGGAACTTCTCCCCAAGAAATGAACGAATGACTGGAAAATTCTGGCCAAATAAGATATACGTGTATCGAGTATCAATCTAAAGAGCCCAGTTCTCTCGTTTTCTTCTTCCCTTTCCAAAGATCTCCCGATCTTTCACCTTTTTTCTATTTAATGTCGCAGATCGTTCGTCCGTTGCTCGAGACCTCCCCGTCGTATCTTCGCGATTCGCCTTCGTTTTGAGCTCTTCGAAGATCGTCGAGAGTAGTCGAGGTCTCGCGCGCCTTCCTTTCAGTTCCTCTCGTTCGTCTCGTAGACAGCCTCTTCTTCGAGGATTATCGAGAGAGAGAGAGAGAGA